GGGTGGGTTTCCCCAAGTCCTTATGGTGTGTGCCTCTTACACTAACAAGCTTCTGGCCTGGCAGAGGCTCTACATGCAGTCCTTCTGGACGGACTGTAATTTGTTCAGAAACTGAAAACTGCCATGGGATCAGCTGTGCTGGAAAGCACTGGGAAACAGCCAAGGAAGGAGCAGGTCTGCCATGGACAAGAGTGTTCTGCAGGGGGAATGGCAAGCTATAGGCAGACCCGGACGTGGTGAAGGGACTGCTCCAGAGGAGGCACGTCATCACAGACCCTCACTGAACACCCTGCTGATGGGCCCCACTGAGCTGAGGGTCTGTGAACGGTGAGTAGTAAGCAGACAGTGAATGAAATTTTTGAAGGTCTTAAACTTCAAACCCTCCGCCACTGAATGAGAAAGAAATGGCTGCAAAAGCATGGAAATCAGAGAGCCAGGATAATGAGGGCAGAGGGGCATGGGAGAACAGAACAACGCTGTCAACCCTTTCCACTTGCTCCAACTTCGCCATGCATTAGGCACTACATTACTATGTGAAAACTGATCCATTTCATCTCATTCACTCCTTGCAACATTTCAGTTATTTAGGTTCTAATATGATCTCTACTTTGCAGATGAGGAAACTGAAGCTTAAATGTTTCTAAAGAAGATGGTGATCCAGGGCTTCATGCCTGCTATAGAGGCAGTGCTCATGGGTGGTGTTTGTGGGCCACCTGAGCTGAAAAAGACTGAAGGCTGGGTTACACATTAGGAAAGAGAGAAAAAATAACACTCATGGTCTCTGATATCTCTGGAAGAATAATGGGAATATGAAGATAAATTTGATGTTGTAAATATGATCTTGGTGACAGGTTTTCCAAAGACATAGCGGACAGGGAAGTTACGTGGGGAAGTATTTAGGTATCAGTGTGGTCTGTGAGAGTCGGATTAAACAGACCCACAGGGAGGACTTGCAGGGAAGGGCCGATATGCCCAAGGAAGACAGATCTCTTTACTAGCAATGGCTTTCTCTCCTGACCCAGATCCATCATACACCGCTTGGAAAAATCTCTGCTTCTCCTTGTTTCACTGCGTATCTGTCAACATCTACTTGAGTTTATAAACACCTACTGTTAAAAATACTGCAAGTGTGGTTATTGTGTTATTGGTCATTTGTAACATATTATAAATTACTTGTATCTAAATCTCTTCCTTCTAACATCTGTTTAAGATCAGTTTTACTGAATAAGTTAATTTTGATAGAGAGGAGATGGAGAATAGTAATAACTATAGAAAAAAAAATGGACAAAACTCACCCGGGGCGGTCACAGGAGAGAAATTGGAAGTGAAGGCAAAGAAGCCCCAGGAGTGGCTGAAATACATTTTTATGTCATAAAATTATTCATGGCCTAACTTTATCACCCTGAAGAGGAAGAGGAAGAGGGAACATTCATTCTTGCTTTCTCATATTATAGGACCCCTCGATTTAAGAACACGGAACTCAGGTGAGTTGAGCTAGGGTTTATTTATGTACTCAACACATACATATTTGACTACGATCGGTTAGATAGATTTCTGTGTGCTGTAGTCTTGAGAACCTAGCTGCTATTCATAACACTGCTTATTCTATGAGAAACAAAAGACCTGAGGGATGCCGTGGAATATTGGACTCTAACGTTTGTGTAAGTGAGGGCTATCTGTATGGCCTCAAGTGCTAAAAACAAGATAATACGGTCTGAACTTAACCAGAAAACCCACTGTTGGCCTGAAGATTACATCTTTAAATGCAAGCCCACTGTCAGCAAAACTACAAATAATAGCATGATGTTTTTGGAACGAGTGTTAATACTGTTAGCACAGCAAAAATGGGTTGCAAATAGCACATACCACACATTTTAGGTATTTTATCCCAGTAATGCTTAGTTGAATTTAGTAAGCCGTCAAGTCTATGTTACCACTCATTGTTGTTGCCCAGGATACATGTTTGCCAGTTTGTGAGCTGGAGTTATCTTTGTCCTGCAAAAAAAAAAAATATCCCACAAAATAACCTGTATTCTATAGTACTAAGTGGCACAGAACCCCTTTAACAGTGCATTTATGTCAGCTGAGCTAACCAACTCCACTGATTAACTATCCCAGGGATTCACCCCCAAACAGTGTGCACCTACTGAGGCATGTTCCTCTGTCTAAACAACAGTATGGCCCTCTTTAGGTTTTTTAAGCTCTGTAGTTCAAGTGAACATACCTTGCTTTTGAATTAAGAGGGCAAGTGAGTTAAGCATCATCTTTAGAAATGATCTGGATGGGTCACTCTCTCACTATCTCTGACCTTCTTAAGGGGATTTTATAGCATATTCAGAGTCACCCACACACACACCCACACACAGCCAGTTGCTGGGCTGATAGGCTCACTCTGTACATGGACCAGACCATCTGGGTTAACTCTCCTTTTAGATGCCTGCTTTAGGCCATTTCCTTATTTATCACAGACAATGGGGGAATTAAAGACAATGGGAAATATACCATTCAGTTAAATTAATTTGTTTTTATAGCTGTGCAAAAGAATAGTGGGAAAGTCTGTAAGCTAAATGGCTAAAACTACATTTAAGGGTTTTCTGTGGCTTTGATGATGACTTGCCAATCCACTATTATTACAGAGAAGACGGGGGAAAGGGCAAATGAAGCAAAAACATGGTTGGAGAACTTATCACATGCATTGTCTTTGTAGTGTCAAAACAGTTTTCAAATTTGTACATTTTTATAACAGAATTGCATTAACATAACATGATGTACACACACATACACATGTGCATGATATGAACAGTCAAGAATGTATTCTTGAGAAACCTGAGCAGTTATTTCTCACAATACTCTATCACACACATCCATGCCTCCAGTCCAGCTACCTGGTACACGGAAGGCTGCATATTCCTCGGTACAGACTAAACAGGAGTTGAGATTCCCCACTGTTCTACCTTTTCAAATCCCACTTCCCCAGGAAAGTTTCTGGAACAATCCATCCAACCCTCATTAACAAAGTCCATCTTTGACCTCCTGCCAGAATCATTAATGTTGCACTTGAAGGAATGCTGCCTTATTTGGCCTTTGATTTATTTTATAGGAATTCATCTTGTTTAACTAGCTAGATCGCTTGGGGGTTGAAACATGATTTCCATATCTACAAATGCACTACATGTGCACTGCTTACTTAGCCCACAGACGTACTCAATGAATGCCAATATACCAACCCCTTGAAAAGAAAAAAAAAATTATCTGCAAATCTCAGTGTTAGTCTATAGCTGTTTTGTTGTTGAGAGCACAACAAAAATATGAATTCCTGAAATTCCACAGCACCTTTCCTCAGGACAGTTCTTAATCCTTTCCCATAGATTATCTGTTTTATAAAATCCTGGAATGGGAGGCCAGGAAGAGCAGAAACTGTGATTCCCAGGACTTTACATTCCTCTTAGAAAGTGTTCACGTGAAGGGGTGGTACCTTTGGTGGCTCAGCAGTGGACACCTGCCTCACCTGTGGGAGAGGCACAGCAGAACCTGTTAACCAGACCCAGAGTTGCCAGTTTAAGAGAAACATGATTCTTCATGTAGTGAAAGAAGTGAATTATGGCAAAAACAAGATCATGGATTTATTTCAAAATCCACATTATTGGAAGATTCTGTACTTATTAAATATGCAGTCCAACTTTGTACACTTCCCTAGCTATATTGATAATTGCAATAATAAGGGACATTTAATGAGCATTTACTCTTATCAATCAAGCAAAGTGCTTTTTATATCTAATCTCAGTCAGATGTTACAAAAAAACCTACAAAGTATCCATTATTATTATAATATTCATTTAAGATACCAAAACCGAGACACCTAGAAGTAAAGCAGCTTGGCCAAGAACACACAGCTTAGAGCCACCTGACATTATATAATGCCAGAAAATAACAACTGTGCTCTGCTGATAATACAATATTTAATGGTAGACAGTCACAATTCTCAATCACTGAAGATTTTCCTCATATATTATAGCTTCTAAGTGAAGTGTTGCCAACATATTACAGAGTTATCCACAACAAAGCTTGGAGTGAGAGAACTTCTATTTAAAATCAACTCAACAGATCACCCCCAGCCCTACCCTCCAATCCTTCATTCTGGTTAATCAATGTTGTAATGTACTAAAGGGCTGCAGGGAAAAGAGGGTGGGGAGAGGTGGAATTTGTTGAACCTATTTTACAGAATCAAAAACAGAGGCAATCTCAAATGATTTCCCTCATTTGTGGAGTATAACAACAAAGCAAAACTGAAGGAACAAAACAGCAACCGACTCACAGACTCCAGGAAGGGACTAGCGGTTACCAAAGGGGAGGGGTGTGGGAGGGTAGGAGACGCGGGAGGGAGAAGGGGATTGAGGGGTATTTATGTTTAGTATACATGCTGTGGGGGGGTCACGGGGAACAGTGTAGCATAGAGAAGGCAAACAGTGAATCTGTGGCATCTTACTACACTGATGGGCAGTGACTGCAATGGGGTATGGGGAGGACTTGATAATATAGGTGAATGTAGTAACCACATTGTTTTTCATGTGAAACATTCATAAGAGTGTATATCAATAATACCTTAATAAAAAAAACTAAAAAAAAAAGAAAAAACAGAGGCAACCTCATGATCCACCAGTTGGAAATAGGGAATAGATTAATAATAGAAAAGTTACTTGAGAGTATTTTGAAATTCTGCACCAACCCACATTTCTGGAAGGCCTGAAAGGTGATCTGAAAGACATCAGGGTTCATAACCTTTGCTTATCATAGGTTAAACTTACAGCTGTTGCCTGCAGGAATATTCACTTAGCTTAATGATACTGGGAGGTGTTGGGGTGAACTTGTGTTGGTGAGCAACAATTTCACTCTGGTCACTATAGGGGCTGACAAAGTAAATACTCTGCTTCAACTCAAATTTTTATTGCTCAGTGATTTCCAGAAAATCATGGAGTGTGAGGGCTCTTAGAAGCTCTTACCTGGGGGTGATGCTCAAGCTGCTCGTCATTTTTGACTGCTCCCTTGGAAAAGAACCCCTCGGTGTGGCAGACGAGAATTCCTTCTGGCTGCTCTTCTTTTTAATCGGTGTTGCACCTGCAAGAGCACAGGATCTGAGTGAGCTGGTGGGATATCTGTTCCGAAGCACTGCTGGACCGTGCCTGTCGGACGAGCCTTTCCAGGCCCTTGGCTGGGGATCCTTCAGTGCAGACTACTTAGCTACAGATCTTTCCTTTCTCCCCCCAACCAATGTGGAGCCTATAGGCCTTTGTTGAAAAAAATCTTTTTTTAAACTGACATACATACACAATAAATAAAATGCACAAATCTTAGTGTACAGCTTGATGAAATTTTGACATGTATACACACTCACATAACCATCACTAAGATCAAGATACCCAATTTTTTTCTTTGTTCTACAGGTTTTTTTCAGCTACAGTTCTAAGAAGATGAATTGTAGAAAACTCACTTTCTTCTACAGAGTGAGAGAGCAGATGGCAGATGACTGTGGGGATTCCGGTAGTCATTTGGGGTGTGCTTGAAAGAAGTACCTGCCGAGGTGCTGGGACGCCTCTCTAACCCATCCCGCCTGTCGTCTGGCCCACGAGCGCAGCATCCAGGAAGCCTTCCCGCTCCAGGCAGGGTCTCCAGCCACCGCAGGGCTCTTAAGAAAGGGTCCAGATACAAGACCCTTTCTCTGTTTGCAGACACCGCTCAGACTGCAATTCATTCTTCTCAGATCTATTTCCTCCTTTTACTTTATTTGCCCTTCAAGGCTTCCTTTATTATTCATTTTAACTTTTGGAGACACTTGATCTGACATGGGATATGTCTCAAAAGAGTTTTGGATTTCCAAAGCTGTAAATAACACAAAATCAAGTAATTATCTCATCTGCAAAATGGGAAAAGTACTGACTTTAAAGGGTGACTGTGAAGATAAATGTAAGAATGGTTGAAATGTAATATTTACACGGGCAATATGAAGCTGCTTCAAGATGGATAAAACCTGACACATGAGCCATTACTTCTTCCTACACCCGTCTGTTGGTACTAATTATGCCACTCTTATTCCAGAACCTGCATTCCACCTAGGAATCCTTTCAACACACTGGGCTAAGAAGCCATTGCTGGTCAACAAGAACTCACACAAAGTGCTTCTCCTACTCTGCAGGGACCCTGCATTATCTGCTTGCCTGAGCCTGACTGCTGGGGATCAGTGGGGAGATTGCCCACAAGAAGGACAAGGAGATGGCAAAGTCAAAGAGGTGCCACCACTGCTGGTCTTCCTCCCCTGCCCACCCCAGTGGAGAGAACAGACATGATCATTTTCCTTCTGGTCAATTTAAGAATCATCGCTGCACTCTGAGGATGGACAGTTCAGGTGGAACAACGCTTTAAAACCATGTATCATCAGGTTTTGGACAACAGAAGGAGCCACAAAAACATCTCGGTACCCCTCTCCTTGTGATGTAATTCTTTCTGAACCATTCTAACCCACAGAAAGTATCAAGCCAGGAAGAAGAGGGACATTCTTTGGGTATGTGACTAGCTGGCTTAGATCAGCGGGAATCGCACCACAGGGGTGCACTGAGAGCCAGGTCTGGAACAAGACTGCTCCGGGCCTGTGATCCTCAGAAGCCTTCACTTACATGCAGAGGGTGACTCGCGTTTCCTTATTTCATGGATACCTTTCGCCCTGCGGGGAATGGCTCAGGAAGGGAAGGTCTGAAGGAAAATCTGCGTGAGGGCTAATGTGTTACCAGCTGTCAGGGTGTAGGCTAGCCAGCTCTGTACACACGACAGAAACTGAGCTATGGAATATGAAAGGCAACATGCCCCGACTGACAGGGGAACAACGGAGCCCTCCGAAGCCTCTCTGCTTTCTCAAAACCTAACTCTCCAGCCAGCAGGGGCCAGGTATTACAGAGAGGGCTGTGGGGGGTGGGGATGGGGGGGAGGTGAGTGCTAGGTACGAAACTCTCACAATTTCTGCTATTGAGTCTTCCCTCATGCTATTTTTAACAAAAATCTTTGAGTCTTCCCTCATGCTATTTTTGATAAAAATTTCTTCCAAAAACTCATTAGTGATTAGTGTAGTTCTGGAAGCTTTCATAATTATGGCAGTAGATGCAGTATGTGGGTTGGAAAAAGCAGTCTACATGAGGGCTGGTGTGGGCCCTGGCTGGGTGCTGGGCGCATGATGCTGAAAGATGAATGGGTCCACGTGATCTTTTTCGGTCCCTTCTAATCCAAAAAATGTCTAAGAGTGTTCTCTCTACCCGGACATAGACAGAGCAGTTCTCCTTTCCATCTCCCTCAAGAAATCTTATTATAGGTCACACGAGTGAAAGTAATTCCTATGTTATCTGGGTAATTCTGAAACTGCTCCAATTTGTTACCAAACTAAGTTGCTGCAATTAATTACAAAAAAACTTAGTATTTGCCAGGCATTCTGACACACCTGAAAAGTGACAGCATTTTTAAGAACCACTGCTCTTAGGAGATGAAAAGGCAGCAGGACAGCAGAGCAGGCCAATGCCCCACCTTGCAAACTTGGGATAATGTTCACATACGGTGAGTTTTTAAATCTACATAGCTGCTCATGATCAGAACTTTATTTGTGAAACATTATTACAGCCATGAGAGATGGCACGGGTTGGCATGACAAGCAGCAAGATCCAGGAAACTGGCTAGGAAGGTATTGCAATCACGGGAGTGAGGAATAAGGCAGGCCACAGCCAAGGGGAGATGGATGCTAAGAACTGGAGAAAATGAAACCCCAGGGTCAACTACAGGATTAGAACAATAGCAGTTGTCATGGATATAGGAATACGAGATATTTGTGTATGGTCTTCATGGATTTCTTACCAAATTGCTTTCCTTTTTATTGAATTCAGTGGACATGTGGACCCTGACCCTGCTTTAGAGAAGAGACATATAAGAGCACCTACTCTTGCACCTCCCTAAGGCCACTGGTGCAGGACAGTGCAGCCTGGACCTCGCAGCTGCTTAGGGAGCCGAGTCAGGGAGACCAGCCCGTAGATGCATTCGGGTAGTTACACCTCAAGCCAGGTTTGGAATTCTCCCAAGGGAACACTGGCTGGGGTGACTCCCTCCTCGAAGAGGTCAGTTAGTCTTGTTTATGAAAAAAGGGACCCAGGACCAAAGCTAAAGAGAACTGTGAAGTAAGGTAAATTCAAGTTTGGACCATCTCTTCAAACCTCGTCTTACCGTGTCTTCCTGTCCCCGACTCCCTTCACACCCTCTTTCCAGTTTCCCTTTCCTAACTCCCCTCTCCCTTAGGTGCGACTCCATCACAAAGTGAACGTGAGGACACGGTTCTCAGCGAATGAGGATCAGGGCAAGTTGGAAGCAGTTTCCTTCTGGGCCACTTCCCTCCTGCCCCTCCCTCCACTCACCGCAGACAGACCCCCATATGCTCCTCCCCGGTTGAGGACCACCCCTGAAGCCTGAGGCACCAGAGAGTTCCCTGGTTGACTACCAGGCAGGGAACTGCACAGCTGGGGCTGGGAAGCTCCTGCCCAGTGAGTGATCTAATCGTAGTAGGCAGAAAGGCAGAAAGGCAATTACTCCTGCCCTGAAGGCAGCCCTCCCTAGCCTCCATGCTCTGAGCTCAGAATCATCAGTGGGTGGGGGAGGGTAAAATACATATAAGCTACTAGGGCTTCTCCACCAGTTCTTCCTCCATCTGGAATTTATTGATGAGAAAAGAAAGGAAATGCTTTTTGAGTTCACATTCCCACCGGTAATACAATAACTATCATATATGAAATACTATTTGCCAGGCACTGCTCTGAATGTTTTTTATATTAATATCCTCAATTTGTATGCTCCCTATGTATTAATGTTCTCATTTAATCCTCTGAGGTATGTAATAGTATATCAACATGTTACAGAAATCTGAAGCATAAGCATACTGAGATGTTTAATAACTTGTCTCAAGTCACACAGCTAAGAACTAAGGGACCAAAGCAGAATTCATATTTTTAACCACTGCACCAGGCTGCCTCTCTGAAATGTTAGGTTATGAGCTGAAGTGGAGAAACTCTGGTGTGGTCCCAATTTGGGAAAATGGGAGTAATCAAAGGAAGAGGGAATATAAAGCACAGAGCATCAAAGTTGGAAAGGGCCATGGAGAGGAGGAGGTCTGCCTTGTTTGGAAATGATAACTGAAAGGTAACATGTCTTGCCTGAACCCCAGCTAATCAGTTAATTCAAATCTTCTGAATTCTCACTGAGTACAGGAGGAGGAAGAAACTGGTGCGGCCAAGCAAACCTAATTAGCTCAGTACAGATAATTATTTGAAGGGGCTCGTCTGGGGATACGCTTCATCTGGCTTTGAAACGTGAAATATGCAGCCTGAAATTCATACTCATCTAAAGTCAGGACATTTTCTATCTTGTCATCTATTGGTAAATTCCTAAATCCTTTCTGGAAGCTAATCCGCTGGGCGAATTTCCAGATATAATCATGACGTTAAATCTGAGAGACTGAGCAGTCCTCTTCCAGTGATCACCGCTGGCACGGTTTTGCCAGACCAAGTCTCCAGGCTTAAATTCACTTCCCAGCCCCAGGCGCGTGAGCATTTCATGGTGCTCTGCTGCCACCGTCTGGCTGACTCGAGTCAAGGCACGCTGACTCTACTATTTCAGAATCCTGCTAACAAATTATTTAGTTCTCCTGGATGCGGTGGGATAGGTTTCGTAGGAGAGTCAACTGAGCATCCCTATAGGGCAGGAAGAAGAAATCGTTCTGGTGTGAGAAGAATGAAAGCTTCTGAGAAATGTGATGACTACATCGAAGATCAAACACTAGACTGAGCACTGAAAGTCATACTAAATTATTTCCTAGAGACTTCAGAATAGATGTCACAGAAGTGGGTACAAATATGAAGGCGGAGGTTTCCTTCCTCTTTATATAGAAATTTTCCCTCTTGATAAAGCAACTGTCTGCTTTAAAATATTTATACTAGAAACCAAACTTAAAAGTCAGCTAAATAAAGGGGTGATTACTCTTTTTTATAAAACATTGCTGTTTTGGAAAGTGACAGCAGTGCATGCATATGAGTGTGCATAATTTATCTGCAAAAGTTTCATTTGTACGCTGTGTTTACAGGGATATGGTGAATATGTGAAACCTGCTAAACTTTCTTCTAGTACACAGCTGTGTGTAGTGAGATGATGCTTTTAATGTATAATGTTTTCTTTCTTATTCACACCTTCTTTATTGGGATATTTCTCCTATTTAGCCAGCTTCACCCATTGCCTCAAGAGACATTCATACTGTTATAGAATGCAAAAAGAGTCAATGTTTAACTTTTGAAATCTAAAATAGGATCTCAAAGGCCATTAAATGAAGATATTCTTCAGACTCAAGCATTCGGTTGCGAACCCCACAGACAATAGGGATTTCAGGAAATTGCATAAGAATAGCTTCTTTCTACACCCAAAATTGTTGCATATTTTCAAGGCAAAATCAAAAGATTGAGAGAAAATACAGACAGCACCTTTAGTTCTGCGGGGGGAAGCTCCATGGACCTCAGAGAAAACAATAGCTAGTGAAAATGATTATAACACACACACACGTTTAAATTCTCTAGAAATTGTCTTATGGGCACATAGCAAATGAAGGAAATTTATTTGAGAAATTACACTGTATCTTAGGAGGAACGGCAAGGGCCACAGACACTCGAAACTGCTTTCTCTGCTCCAACCTTCCCCCGCCCCCGCCCCCACCAAGTGGGACAGACGCTCCCTTCTGGGTAAGTGTGCCCCAGCTCGCAGCGCTCCCTCTTCCCGGACACCCAGTCAAGGGCTCCAGCCCGTCTCTGGGAGGGGCAGGGCTCCAGCATTTCTCACTCCTCCAGCAGTACGTTGCAGAGGCTGTGCCCCAGGTGAGCACAGCCGGAGGATGGAGACTCCTTCCCCCTGAGCTCTCACACACGGGGCAGAGGCCCTGCCCAGCCATCGCGCGGTGGAGAGAGGGGTACTGACCACCCTGTCCCCAGCTCACATCCCCAGAGGGAGAGGCAAACCAAGGAGAACAGAGGCTACCACCAGGGCCCAGGGGCTGCTCAGAGGCAGGTGTGTCGCTTTGTGAGAAGCGGACCGCTCTCCCTGCAGTGGAGCAGCGGCTCAGAGATTTGCCCAGAGAGGCAGAACAGAGAGCTCGGAAGCCCCTCCCGAGGGAACTGGCTTCACCTGGAACGGAGTTTGGAGAAGTCCAAACTCACTGGTGCTCTTGAATACAGCGGCGATTTTGGTGGCAAACAATTAAGTGGAGGCGGAAGCTCCATGAAAGCAACAAGGTAAACCACGGTGAACCAGGAAAAGAGAAGGCTAGTAAGTGCTCTCTCAGGGTCAGAACAAACCTCAAAAACTGGTCTCAAAAACTACTGCAGCAAAGGGGTGCACATCTAACTGGATAATACTGTAGAGCAATAGACGCCCCAGGTTATTGTCAAAATTACAGAGTAACCTGCAGCCAGTTACTGTAGCCTAAGAGCTGGGGTGGGTTGCCAAGAGGCAGAGAGCTAAACAGAGACAGGGAAGGGGACGATTAGGAAGACCCAGTTAACACCACTGTCCTCCCCGGATGACTATTCGCAGGCCCAAGGCTGCACGCCCTGATGACAGGCAACACTGGAGGCTTCACAGCGTGGGGGAAACAGATTCCCAGGACAGTCACCAACCAACTAACCAAACAAGCAATGACAAAGCCTTGGTGCCTGGAGTTGCTACAATATATTAGCTCAAGTATGGTTTTCAAGAAACAGGAAAACATGAAACATACACAGGCATAAAAAACGCAGACAACAGAAATTGCCTAGCAAGAGTCCTAATGTCAGCCTCAGCCGAGGAAGTTTTCAGAGCACCTATCACAGACATGTTCAAGAGCTAGAAAACCATGATTCAAGAAGTAAAGAAAAGTATGATAACAATGTCTCTTCAAAGAGACAATATCAATAAACAGAGAGAAATTATAAAAAAGAACCAAATGAAATTCTACAGTTGAAAAGTACACTAACTGGAAGTTATTCAACAGAGGGGTTAATGGACCAAATGGTGTCCCCCTAGAATTCACGTCTACCTGTAACTTCAGAATGTGGCTACTGTGGACTAACTGTGTGTGTCCCACTCAAAGTCGTACATTGCAGCCCTAACTCCTGATTTGACTGTATTTGGAGACAGGGCCTTTACAGGAGTAATTAAGGCTAGTGGGTCATAAAGGCAAGGCCCTGACCTGCTAGATGAGCATCCTTATACAAAGAGGAGGAGAGAGCAGAGCTCACTCTCTCTGCCATGTGAGGATGGAGAAGGTGGCCATCTGTAAGCCAGGAAGAGAGCCCTCGCCAGTGCCTTGGCTGGCACCTCAACCTTGAACTTCTCAGTCTCCAGAACTGAGAGGAAACAGATTTCTGTTGTCCAAGCTCCCTGGTCCATGCGGTTTTGTTCTGGGCTTAGCTGACTAATACAGTGAATGGACACAGCGTCTTTGCAGATATAGTTAGCTAAGGATCTCAAAATGAAATCATCCTGGATTTGGGGTGATGTCTAAGCCTAACGACTGGTGTCCCTGTAAGAAGAAGACACACAGACATGCAGGAGAGACAGAGAAAATGCCTGCAGGTGGAAGCAGAGACTAGAGTTACGCTGCCACCGGCCAAAGAGCATCAGGAGACACAGAAGCTGGAGGAAGCAGGGCAGGACTGTCCCCAAGAGCCTCTGGAGGAAGTGTGGCAGGGCTGGTGCCTGAACGTGAGACTTCTCGCCTCAGAACTCTGAGGGAATAATTTTCTGTTGTTTTAAACCACCCAGTCTATGGTCATTTGTAATGACAGGTCTAGGGGATGAATGGAGGGGCGTTCAGTAGGCAGAAAATGCCCCCGCCCAAAGATGTTCACATCCTAATCCTAATCCTAAAGAGGTTCCAGGGGAGGCCCCATTTCCTTTCCTTTTCCAGCTTCTACAGGCTCCCCATATTCTTTGCCTTGCGGCCCCTTCCTCCATCTTCAGTCGGCGGAATAACACTTTCTCTCTCCCAATGTGCTTCCATCACAAGGTTTTTGCTCTCATGTATGCCTTCCTAGTACAAGGGCTCTGGTGATTACATTAAGACTCCACAGAGAGGATACAGGATAATCTCATCTCAAAACCCTTAATATAATCACATCTGCAAAGTTCCTTTTGCCATATAAGGTAACATTCACAGGGGTTGGGGTATGGATATCTCTGGGGGCTGTTCTTAGCCTATTACAATACACATCCAAAGATCTCAATGTAGTGCAAGCAGAATAAACACAAAGAGATCCAGACACAGACAGATCATAGTAACAAGGCTGAAAGCTGAAGACAAGAAAAGAAACCTTCAAAGCAGTGAGAGAAACAAAACATGATGTACAAGTGAAACCCAATAAGATTAACAGATGATGTCTCATCAGAAAGCATGGAGGCCTGAAGGCAGTAGGAAGACATATTCCAAGTCCTGAATGAAAATAAAACTGTAAGAAAAATTCTATACCTGGCAAAACTATCCTTCCAAAATAAAGGGTAAAGTAGCCATTTTAATATCAATAAAAACATGGAGAGTTCATTGCTAGCAGACAAATCCTACAAGAAGTACACTAATAAGGGTCCTTGAGTTTGAAATGACAAGATACTAGGCAGTAACTCAAATCCACAGTAAGCAATAAAGAACATTGGTAAGGGTGTATGTACATAAGTAAATATAAAAGAGAATCTAGGATTTTTTTCTCTTTGACTTAAATGATGATTGTATAAAGCAATAGTTATATATCTATGTTGATGGGTACCTATAAAGATATAATTTCTGATGATAACAACACAAAAGAAGGAAATGGAACTATGTGAGGATAAAGTTTTTGTATACTATGGAAATTAAGGTATTAGCTAATGCTACAATGGCAACTATATTGCAATGTAAATATATCAAATCCATTCATTATACACCTTAAACCCACACATGTTGCATGCCAAATACATCTCAATAATTTCTTGCACATGAGGACCAACCAAGCAGTCAGATACAGGATGAACTTGGAGATTGAAGCTGGGAAGGTCAGTGTGATGTAGTGAAAAAGCAACAGGCTGAAAGTCAGCATTCCTGGCTCGAGTTGGGAGATGCCTCCAACTGGCAAGGGACTTTGGACATTGCTGAACTCATCTACCTGGCCTGTGAAGGAGCTGAGCTAGATAACAAGTTAAGGTTCCTCTGAGATCTGAAAGCCTGATTCTCAGGTGTTGTATGCCCAGTGGGGGAGTGTCTGCCACTGGCTGGCCAAGTTCAAACAGGCATTGTCTTTCAAGAGCTGGAACCTCTCCTCTCCTCCTGGTCACACCCCCAGAAGCTGGGCTGAGGCACCTAGATAGGAAGCACAGTTACCTGTGATATGTCGATGATTCTTGCTTTTGCAGCTACATTTTCCAATGAGCTCAGGAGTGTACACATCACTGTGACAGGCGGCACAGTAAAAGGCGGCTCTGGACAAAGAAAGCAGATCAAGTATGATTTATGCGAGATTCAACAGTAAACAAGGTGCTGACAGTCTGCCTGCCATTAAGCTGCATCCATTTAGGACTTTCTCTCCACAAAGTAATACAAAAAAATTACCTTTTGACATCCTTTGTAGATTCGGTGACAAAGAACCCTAATGTATTCTTATGCAGCCTAACTTCTGCAGGTGGATTTAATATCAGACCACTGGAAACAGAAAATAATAAGACTAATTTTTCATGGAAACAGAAAACAAAAATACAGTAATTTTTTAAGTTTCTGTGGCAATATTTGGTGTTTCATTCTGTCATTACCAATGGATTCTCTAAGCTGCAGCGTTAATAGGACTCAATTCCCTACTACTTCCCAATACAGTAGAAAATTTGAATTTGATGGCAGTTAATTCTTTGACTGATGCTGAATATGTGGGCAGTCGCCAAGGTCACAACCTAATTGCTAAGCTGCACACATCCCGGAGCAAAGAGCGAGCTCCTCCCTGACTGTGTCCTGAATCTGAGGTGGTCAAACCAACTCAGAAGCAGGAAGCCTCGTGAACTCGGGCTATCCAGTGCCAAACAGGCCAAGGTCACACAGTTGCTAGTCTTCCTGTCATCCTGCTGGTGTTCATCCTCACACTAGTTACCCTCTCAGATTAAATGACATCGAATTAATCTGCTGGATTCAAAAGTGATTAAACTTGTATGACTTCTTTGTCTTGATTACAAGATTTCAGGGAGCAGGAACCACATGAATTGCTTCTATATCTACATTACTTAAACATTTTGATTTTCTATTTCTTGGCTTCTGTGCTTGAAAATGCTGTCTTACAAACTGCACCCATGATACTCCCTGGTGCAGTTCTCCAATTTGACTATTTGAGTTCCTCATGTTTTTCCCTATGTGTGTCAGCAGCTCCCAGTTTTATTTCCTTTAATTCTGACCTCCAGTACGGTGAAGCCTCATGACCCTGTAACTCCCCTCACTTTGGTGTGCATGATTCAAGTACTCCTTTCCTACTTTAAAACACACTCCTTTTCTATCACACTGGAAATAGGTCAAGTCTTAATTTTGGCAAAACTTACCCTGTTGTTCTGGTCCTCTGAGGTAATGTGCAAGTTAGAGCCTTATAAACACCAGAGGAATTGTACCAAATGCCCTATGCCAAGAGTAGGAAGATTCTGAATGACCGTGTTCAGGTAGTTTATTACCTGAGGCACTGGTTGCATTTTTTGAGCATTTACTGACTGTTATTAATGAGTGGGATGATTGCTTTTAATTTTGAAAGGAAAAGAACATGGATTTGTGCCCACCCTAAACATCAATGGTTGATGTTCTCTAATTAGTAAACATACTTAGTTGTATCTTCACTTTTTTTTTTAGAGTCCTTTAACTCTTGCTAAACATTTAGTTATGAAGATACTGTCATGGTTGTATTTGAAAGAAGAGATGAACTTCTTTGGAAGATAGGCCCGAGCTGACATTATTGCCTGATACCCCCTTCATGAAAGCTGGCCACTTGCTCCCTTAGAGAAATGTTCACCCCTAGAACAAACTCAGGTCACGATCTGACTGGGGTCAGACCCGGCTTTACCTCTTAGCAGGTGATACGTTATTCCCTGTGCCAAATCCTTATGATGATGCAGGTCTATTATAAGTCTTAGTAGAGTCTATTCAAGAGTATCAATAAGAACAGGAAATAAGGGGTGCGGAAAGATAAGCTTTCCCCCAGTATCTCAAAATACTTGCCTAAAATCCAGCTGTGGAGACACTCTACCCTACTTTCCTTTCATTTAGTGTGGCTACAGTGGGTTTAGTATGGCTTGTTGATCAGAACTGAGCTCAGATTCTGGCTCTAGACGGTGTGAGTTTGGAAAAATTACTTCACATTTATGGGCCTCAGCTTCCTCCTCTGTAAAATGGGACTAATAACTGTACCCAGTGTTGTAAGGATTCCAGAGTCAGTGTAAGTAAAGTGCCTTTAGTACTGTTGTTCATGAACTAGCTATCTCATATATGAGATTTCTATTATCAAAAACATTGCCAAATCAGGATTAATCCCTTTGAATCACATGATATTCTGGTGAGAAACCAAAGGTGAATCTATGTTGAAGTAGGTTCCTCTTTCACTGGTGGTAGATGTGTGCTAAGAAGTAAATAGCACCAGAACCTCTTGAATACATGTGGAAGTTAATAAATATTCATGTTTCTGGTGTATGAGGTCCTAATAGCCATCCTAATAAAGTTTACAGAAATCAGTTGGAAAGGAATCTTAAAAGAATTTGGTCCAGTAGTTACCATACACCAATGAATAAATTGACTATGCCATAAAGACTTAAAAAATTCTCAGGCCCTACCCTCGGAGGTTTTGATTTTGCAAGTCCTGAAGTGGGGTTTTACAGTCTACCTGTCTTTAAAGCTTCGGAAATACCTCTGATGCAAAGCCCAGGTTGTTGAAGGTCCAAGGTATTGACACCTGACCAAGTTTTGGGCCAGTCTGAGACCCAAACTCCCTTATAACTCTTAAGACTCCATTTTTTTTTACCATGACCTATTTCTAGCAGTTGTGTGTAGGTTTAGATTTTGAGCTTTTCTTAAGCATAGCAGGGTTGTTAAATAAAATTTATCCAGCCAGACGATACTTTTTCTTATTTTCTCCATAATGGCTTCCTTCATACAGCACCCCATTGACTTCTTTTGCCCAGATATCTTCTGCATCGATAGATCTTTTCTTCTTTTCAACTTTTCATATAAAATCATTCCTTTGTAGCCTGGATTCATTCAAAATTATTGAATTTTGACTGTTTCCCTATAATTCTAGGGTCCCTGATAAAGTCCATTTTACATTTGGAAGGAGTCTTAGGTATTAATTAATATGACTTCCTCATTTTTCCAGATGATGAACATTTCTCTAAGGCCACAGGCTAGCAAAATCCTAATACTAATTTTCTGCCTCCAATTCAAGTTAGCTAAAAAATACACATATGCCAACATAAAATAGTCTCTCCTGTTCTCTATCCCATTTATGCTCAACTTTTTATTTTTCACAATCTTTTATCTCCGTATCTTTGCCACTGAATCTCTGTCCTAGATTTTTCATTTTTATTACATGGTAACTTCTCTTGTCATATTATCCAATATGGATTCTCAAGAAAAGCAAATGGTCTGGTAATGTTACCCCTTTCCTTTATCTACCCTATCAACAGTAGCTCTTGCCTAATATGGCACTGGAATTCTCATTTTGCTAATTTCAGCAAGGTAGACTGGTGTTTGAGTCAGCAGCTATAAGATGGGAAGGATAATATGACAGCCAAGTTGTCTTTTTCTAGACATGGCTGTTCAAGACTGTTCTTTTTAAACATACTAGTTTTCATTCTAACTGTATGCTACAAAGAAAAAAAACATTCATGGCTTCTGTCCAGTATCAGAAGCATTCATAAGTTCAAATGAACTCAAGAGCCATCCTGATCAATGGGAATGAGAATGTTCTAGACAGCAGGAGGTTTCTAGAGAAATAGGAGATGTCAGTGGAGGGTTTGTCTCAAAAAGGTATGTGGCTTGATGGGGATGGGGGCAGTTGGGCAAAAAATCTCTGACATTCGTGCAAGAGCCTCCGGAATTTCTTATGCTCTGCTCGCATCCTGCCCCTGCTGCTCTGAGAATCACCATCACCCTGTTCTGACACAGCAGGACAGAATCTTGAAAGCCCAGAATCTCAGATCAAAGTCTGGGATTATTCTACAGACTCTGAAACCCTGTGGCTGTGGGGTGTCAGAGCCAGTTCAGAAGGACTCCTCAGAGGGCCATCCAGCAAAAACAAAATGAATACACAAACAAGTCCGCCCTGCTACAAAGGACCGGGCTTATCATCCAATCCAGGCACCCACCGCCCCTTCCCAGAGATTCAGGTGCCTCTCTTGTCCTTTCCCCCTCAAACTCCTCCCCTGACTGGACTCACCTCACTTGGCAGTTCACACCACCACATAAATCCCCACTACTAGAGAAACTGGCTTAATGCTGATAATCTAAATGTTTCTGTTTTTGAAGGAGGGTAAAAAAATGATAGCCATTGGGATAGAGAAGACTTTCTGAGTTAGTTTCTAAGAGATCAGAAAGGGAAACAGGAAGACAGGATGGATTTTGGACTTTGATAGTAGAATCAGGGAGCTCAAGTAAATTAGTTGGATTAGATCTCATCTAAATTTAAGCTTAAGGCAATGTTCTGTGCCCAGAACCAACTGGAAATGCTCTTCAGCCTACAACTTCTCACCATGTAATCATTGGAACACATGGCATTGACCCAAGCCCTTTTAATGTGAGTATTCATAAGTTTTAATTTAATACTTGGAAAAATCAGGTTATGTGATTATTCTCACTTTATTGATGCAGAAACTAACAGTCAGAGAAAATAATTGCCTAATCCAAGAAAAATGGGACATAGGACGCTGGAGTCCAGGCCATTAAACTTAAGTTAGTAGTTTACCCCAGACTTTCAAGTACCAGAACAGAGAACAACAGCATTAAGAAATCTTGCCCTGACTCTGCCCAGTTTAGGATTTCTGGAAGTAGGTTTCAGACTTCACTTCCAAAAAAAAATAGTGACCACAAATCTCTCTCAATTTCTGTATTCCAAAAGCCATTTCATGGTGAATATTGACAGGTAACCATCCTCAGTGAGGTGGTTATAGCTTTAGAGATAACAAAAAGAAAACCACGGCAGGACTGGTTGTGTACCTCCATCCGTGTACACCTCCATGGAAGAGACGAAGTCTTCATACAGAGCTCCTAATCCATTCACTCTCTCCAGCCATGGAGACTAAAATCACATCCACCTGAACAGATACTGCAGTTATCCTCCACTTTCTAAGGGTACAATAGAGGCAAAGACAGTGTCTTTACAAACCACTTCACCGTCAGACACAGTGGCCACTAAGTGAGGGAGAAAGCAGGTCAGTGGGCAGCATAAACCTCATTCCCTCTGGCCCAGTGATTATGGAATATGGGAAGTTGTAATTCAAGCTGTATATTCTGCTGGGCAGCAAACCAGTTCCTGTAGCACTCAGGGCACAGGAAGGCGACTTGTCCCCGGGCTTAACTGAAGAAATGCCAAAAGAAGAGCTAAATGCTAACACACATCTCAGCCATTTTCACTAGCCTAGTTCAGAATAAAGTGGAACTGTGTGCCTGTATAGGACCTCCTCACATTCACA